TGAACAATTTCAGCATTATAATGAATCAGGTGGAGACATAACATCAGAAAACCAAATATTAGAGACACTTTGGTACCCTTTCCAAGCAAAGCTTCTGAGTGGGGATGTTTTATATACACCTAGACGCACACATAATCAGACATTTCGATGTCATGGAATCCAGATGTAGGCAAATGCTCGCTTCTTCGGTTTGTTTGTTAGATTTTAACTAAATGTTTAATTACGAAGCAATTGTTGCTCAAGTTCTTCCTAACATAAATCTGTGTTTCCACTTATGTCTAACAACGTGTGATGTATCCCCTAGCCACAATTAGAACATCATGAAGAACTAAACCACCACTACCCTGTGTCAGATCACGGCTGTCCTGAGACAAGTACATCTCCATTTTCTCAATCAGCTTTGCTCTGAACCGAAGTCCAGTCCTGATTTAAGCTCCCCTTAGAGGTTTCTCTCAGATAAAATCAGCCAGTCTGGCCCCAGCTTCTACTTCCAGTCTCCTCTCATTCCTTCTCTCCTTTATGCACTGTACTCCAGCCATGTAACCTTTTGATAGTTTTTGAACATAACAAGCTCTTGTCTGCAAGGGCTTTGCAAGTGCTATTACCTCTGGATCTTTGTTGTTGACCTTTTTACATGGTCGCCTGGCATCCCTCAAGCTTACCTTAAATGTCCCGGTTTTAAAGGGACTCTTAACAATCTTATCAAAAATAAGCTCTTCCCTTACAGTCTCTCAGCTTAGTTTTCTTCCTTTTAGCATTTAGCATAATTTGGGATTAAAATCTTCCCTGATTTGTTTGCTTGTTTTCTGCCCCACACTATCCTACACCCTCCAGGATTAGAAGCTCCATGAGAAAAGAATCATGTCAGCCTTCTTAGAGGACCCAGCACAGAGCAGTAATTCATAACTTGCTAAATAAAGGGAGAGAAAAAATGGAGAGAAGGGAAGGGAAAAAGGAGAACTGAGTGGAGGGTGATCTTTGGAAATCATGTGGCCTGAATTTTTTTTTTTTTGTAGGAATTTAAAAAGAGACGAGAGAAAACAACAATGACATATAGTATTCTATGATTCAGAACTCTTTCTATTGAAAATGTAACTTTAACCCAGGATGATGAAACAAAATAAAGATCTAAGAAAGTAATCTCCCCCTCTAATCAAAATTTATTCCACAGGAGTGGAAGAAATGCAGTTCATGTAGAAATTGCTCACCTGTGTCAAAGGACTCTGCCTCCTGGCCTCTCCCAGCCCAAACCCCACCTTCTCAACAAGAGCGGAAAACCTGTTTCCTCCCAGCCCTCCCTATTGTTCTCCTCTTGTTCTAAGATGGCGGTACACTTCCTCCTCTTGACCTGGAATGGCAGAACAACAGTTCGGACGGCTCACAGTCACTCACCCTCCAGTAGTCAGGAATGGGCAAATGGAAAATAAAGGACAAAACAGATTTTTGACCACTCAGTGTCCCAAGATGGCATGATTAACCATACACAGTCGTTTCTTCGTGCGAGGGCTCAGCCTACCAGCATTCAATGTCTGATTTTGTCACTTACCTGCTGGGTAGCTTTAGGCAAGTTACTTAGTCACTCTATTCCTCAGTTCTCTTATCTGTAAAATGGGAGTAATATCCTCCTCATAGAGTAATTATGAAGATTAACATCACTGAACAAAACTTACACAGTCACGGGCAGAGTAAACACAAACATGTTATCTATCATTCTTCATATGCGTGTGTGTGTATGTGTGTGTGTGTGTATGAGTGTGTGTTAAATGTCATTAGCTGATGACCTTTTCTGGTATAAACAAACTGTTATTTAATGAGTTAAGTTTAATAATTAAGTTAAATGTTTCAGGGTTTGAATTTTTGTGTGAAAAATCTTATCTTCTTCAATTTTCTATTTGTCTTTTTTATTTTTCTTCCTTAATATGAAAAAGCAAACCAGTATTGTGAAGAAAGAATGAAAAACAAAGTTATCAAATCCCATAAGAGAAAATTCTTGATCCCTAAAGTCCTGGTTAAATCCTCGGAACTTCGCTCCAGTGCAATCTTTGTCAGGTGGGACATGACTGTGCAAGACAAGTGACAGAAATACTTGGAGAAGAAAACGAGACAAGGGAAACGCTGTGGGAAACAGGTCTAGGGAAGGTAGGGTAAAAGAGAAAATTCTGGAAAAACTTGAAAGGATTCAGGAAAATAAAGTAGGACTGGGGTTGCTAACATTAATCAATCACTTCCCAAGTGCCAGGCACTATTTCAAGTGCTTTGTAGGCACTGAATTCATTTCATCCTCCTTAGAAAATAGGTGCGTTCTTAATCCTCATTTGTACTTAAGGAAACCAAAGCAGAGAGGGGTGGTATAGTTTGCCTGGTCAGCACATAACTTTCAAAGAAGTGCTTCCTTTAAAGGCTCAGTAAAACAAATGGGTTAACAGATGTGGTATTCAGTTACAATTGGAAAAGGAATAAGGAGAGTAGGTGTGGGATCTGAGTTTATATGGATTTATAGTGATGTGATTGTGGCTTTAAATGCCAAAACCTCTTATATCACTGTAGAAAGTACTTCTTAAACTCTGGCCTGTGTTTTATCTACCCCAACAAAGAAATCATCAGACTGTACTAGAAAATAAGTCATAAAAGAAATGCATCAATGAATTCTTTTGTTTGGATGAGCAGCACTCTCAAGCTTGAGAGTACATGGCTTTTCTATCATAGTTGTAATCATTTCTTTCTGTTACTCAACCCTCCTGCCTCTTCCCTCTACCTTGCCCCAAAGACCAATATCCTTATAGTGATCATAAAGAAGGATATTAAAACAGGGAGATAAAAGCAGTAGAGGAATTTAGGGACCAGTCACAGAAGATAATTCCTCAGACACTATAAAGTCTTTGCTTACTTGGTGTGCTACCAGGAAACTTAGTTAATAACCATCATTTGTCCAACTCCTCTTGCAAGTGCAAATCCAATACAATCCTTTAGTGGGACACAGTAAAAAGAAAAATGCAAAGGCATTTGAAAAAGCTCACCCATTTAGATTTAATTACATACATAACTGGTATCCTTCCAAGTGTGAAAATGTTGTAACCAACACGTCAAACAATAAAATGCTATCTGAACAGAACACATTTATACAGAAGATGTATGAGAAATCAGAATTCACAGGCTTCCACTGGGCATTTTACCTAGAGAGGTTCGTAGACACACAGCAATGTCTGCTTGTGACTCTTGCCTTCTTTTGAATTCTTAGGTTAGTCATTTAGTCATTTGCACCTAGAGGGATGTTCTTGTCCAATGACTTTGAAATGAACAGGCATTTTCGATCAAAAACATCTGTCTGTGTCGAGAGATCGCTGTATTTGTGCTTGTGTATTATATTTTAAAGATCAACTCATTTGTCTAGTATTGCTTCTCACATGGTTAATTAATGACTACTCAGTGATACTTAATTCAACAGAAAGATTATTTCACAGCAGAGCTTCCTTGAGCTAAACATACAAGAAAGACTTACCAAACTTCTGTCAAGTCAACTTAAAAAGAAGGGAAGGAGGCATCTCGACAACCAAACTATTTTGCAGGTATATCATAGAAAAACAAACTCCTTGTGATTCTATGTACTAATAGTGAATAATCGAAGCATGGCCCAGAATTTTGATCTGCATGATATGTACCTTTGACTGTATCTACTTTGAATTGAAATGTCTTGTGAATGATTAACTGGGAAGAAGAAAGTGAAGGAGACTGGAGTCCTGTGACCTCTGCCATATCTTCGCCAAATGTGCGTTGTTGGATGCTGTGGGCTCACCACCTTTTTCATGTTCCCATTTGTAACACAATTCAATGGAAACATCTCCCCCTTTAGTAAAGTCTTGTGAAAATAATGCCTGAATATACCTCAGCGCTGCTGGTGAAAGGCAAAAATCAGATCTGTGCTGACACTGTTCTAAGGAAAAGAACCAATCAGCTGAACAACTTCCTCATTCGTTGTGCTTATGAAAATGAAAATGCAACGGCCTTCGGGATTTCAAAATTATCCATAGTTAGAAGTCAGGAAATAAATGCACAGTAGTGAGGATTTTGTCGTATCACTAAATACAATGCTCTTAATTCAGAAAGTAAACGTGGTTCTGCCCTAAGTTACAGTAGTTCCTTTCTTACTTTACTTTCTCCTTCACACCATGACACTAACTAACTTTTAAGTTAGATTTTTTTTTCCTCATTTGTTTCGGAGTTTTAGTCTCTGACAAAAAAGCAGGCACGTCCCAATGTGAAACAGGCAAGTTCCAGATACTCTCAGAATGACTCGAACAGAATCCAATTCCTACTTCTCCCTTGCTGTGGAGTCTGAGGTCTGAGATCTGGTTCCTACTCCTATTTCTCTAAATATTTATCAATTAACAGTTACACATCTGCTCCAATGGCCGTGAACTTGGCCAAAGAAATAAATAAGAATGCTTTCTTTCCCAAGGTATGCAGGGTGACACAAGTCTATCTGAAGTTTTTTTGAAGCAGGGGTTTTCATTTAATTATCAGATTTAAGTCCTCTTTACACTTATTTCATTAAACATAATAGAAAAGTTATGTTATTTCAGCATGTTCTGACTCTTTTTCTTTTCAGAGTAATCTTTTCCCACTTGTTTGACTCCTTCTAGTAAGTCAAATTCTCTCGTAGTTCTTTGCCTCTTGTAGCATGCATGCAGGCTACGCTAAAGTTAACAGAACTGCTTAGAAAAGTCCACTGAATCCTGGCACAAGAACCTTTCACACAGAAGAGAATTCCTTTCTTTCACTTGGATATATTATAAGAAACAAATTTATGAGAAGTGGTCTGCCACGATTCAGAATTCACTATTTGATCAGGACACTAAACCCAGACCTGCATTTTCCAAGCTTTTTATTTTGTATTTGCAGAGGGCTCTTCACACAAGTTTACTTACATTGACCTTTCATGCTGTAAATAAATGTAGTTTTAACAAATCTGAGGCAAAGCAGCAAATACAAGTTGTACTAACCTTAGTGTATTGAATCTTCAAATTGGTAAGTGGGACAGGTAAGTCTGGCGTGCCTGAGGACGACATTTCTGGTTCAGCTCCTGAAACACAGGTGACAGGCTCAGCAATTTGGTTCTGTTAGAGCACTTGGCTTTATTTGTTCCTTTATATTTGCACAGGCTAAGGTTTATTTGCATACTGGGATATGATTGGATGAACAAACTCAGAGCAAAAAAGAAAACGACACGACTTATTTGTAACACCTAGTGCAGGAAGCCTTTGACTTTAAACTTAAATCCTTAAGAAACCAGCACTCCGGCATTGAAGTTGCATCTGGAGACAGGGCGCTATTTGCAGATGAATTAATTTACAAAGCCGAAACCTGTGATAAGAGTATGCAGCACAGCTGCTCTGGCCACTAAGGCCAGTTATTATTTTTTGGATTTTCAAGCTTTCTATGTTACTATGTAACTTTCTGTTCTCTAACAGATTTGGAATCAGAGAATTGAAGGCTTTAAAAAAAAAGAAAAAAGTTTAAAAGGCTCTTGTTCCCAAAAGAGGCTGATGAAGAGAGGCTCCTGGCCAGAGATCTTCAGGACCAGGCCATCGGCAAATCGGTCTATCTCCCGGAAAAGCAGAATGCCGCTGGGGAAGAAAGACCATCTATCTAGACCCTTCCCTAAGCCAGCTTTAAAAAACTTGTGTTTACTCAAGTGTATGTTCAGTGCTGGGTAAGTAGATCTCCTGTGATTTCAGAAGTCCTAAGTTATCTTTACATTCTGGATGAGAACAGAAGACTCAGCAGGACTTTGAGAGAAGTCGAGGTGGGGGGGACACTGACACACACAGCCACAACAATCTGCAATATGGCAGTATCATTCCTGAAAATCCATTTAAAATGAAAGTAACCTCTCTTTACTTTTGGAAGCTGTCTGTATTCCAATCACTGATATTCGCCGTTGGACAAAGCACGAGTTTAAGTGGGCTCCCAAACCATTCAAGTTCTTACTGTTTCAAGCTGGAAACATTTTAAAAAAAGACATTTTTTTCACTGTGCTACTCCCATATTTAGTACAATACTTTATTGTATTGAAGCTCTAACAAAGTTTGGTAAGAACAAGACAGAATAGTTTGGATACTTTGGATGTTCTGATTATTAAGAGGAACAATTTTTTTCCCAAGTAAAAGTTATCAGGTGTCCTATGTACAGGATTTAGATAGATAAACAAAGAATTATTAACTAAGTTTAATAATTTAGTTATTAAATTATTACTATTTAATAATAATAACAACCTGTTCTTCCAAATCAGGTGTAGGAACCTCAGTTTCTCGTTCCATCTTCACTTGGTGTCCCCATTCCATAGCCATAGAGAGAATGAGTAGCTTGCTTGTGGTCATAGATCTCATGAGCACAAAACCAGAATTTCATTTAGATCAGCTTGACTTCAAACTGCAGGCTCTTATTATTTCTAAGTTTATTTTATTTCTTTCATGAGTGAGACAGAGAGAGACAAAAGAGAGAGAGAGAGAGACTCCCAACAATGTCACCAGCTGTATCACAGGCACTCATGTTTCCAGCGTACTCACAGAGGTCTCCAGATGCAAATTCAGGACTTTCCCTTTTTTCCCCAGGCTTTTATTTTTGTTTTTTCTCTTGGTCCTCTTCTCCATAGGAGGATTCTCAGATGAGTTCAAGGATCAATGGCTTTGGTTCTCCATGTGAATACTCACAGACTCAGTTCGTTCATCGTAAACTCTTCTGCTAAGTCAGTGGTCAGCACACTTTTGCAGTACAGGGACAGATAATAAAAATATTTAGCTTTCTAGGCCAGATGGTTTCTCTTGTAATTTATTTGACTCTGTTTAAAAGAAAATAAAGACAATGGGACTAGCAGTTAGCATAACGGCTATGTCGCTGGACTCCCACGTAGTCGACCGCGGTTCACATCCCGGACCCGGTGGCTTAGAACTCAAGCCAGGCGTGTGTGCATGTGTGCCCAAGATCCCAAGAGGAGAATGGAGGAGAAGGGACTGTGGTGTGGCCATTCCTTCTGGGGTGGAGGGTGATTTCTCGCTTTTTTCTCTCTGTCTCTCTCCTCTCAAAAGAAAAAAAAAAAGAAAATTAAAACAATCAATATATTAATGGGTGCAATTGTTGCCCAGTGAAATTTTATTTATAAAAACAGTAGGCAGGGCAGGTTTGGTGAAGGGACCAATCCCTAGATTCTAATGCAATCCCATCCCAAATTCTTCACTTCCTGTGCTTTGTACCTGAAGACGAGATAGAAACTTCTGTGTTCTCTCAACATTTCTCTTGCTCCCAATTTCTACTTTCTTTTTTCTTTTTTGGAAAATCTAATTGTTTTCTCCTTCAAAAATGTGTTTCAAGTTAAATGCACAATTACACAACAGCTGTTACATAACTCGCAGAGTGGCGCTCCCGCCATGCCCAAGCAGCTGTGTTTTGCTGCTTGCTTCTGCTCCCAGCATCACAGTTGTTTGTGGATTCCAACATTCATCTATTCGATGTCCAGGTGGTAAAAGCTCAGGGCTTCATAACACACTTGGCATGTCGTCTCACTCCTTACAGGCTCACTTTTATTATATTTTATTGGAAATTATGTAAGAAGAATCCCTTTCTACCAGGCATTACCTAATCTAGGCAAAAGTAGCAGCATTGGAGACAGGGTACCACACCTGCCCACGTAATTTCAACCAATATTTACCGAGTATCCTTTACACATCTGTAATTATCCAATCCTAACCTGATTCAAAGGACAGATCTTTTCTGCCTGGAGAGCACCATGCCTAAAATCTATGTTTTTGCAAGAAGTATCACTCTGTTCCTAGAGTATATCTTGTAGAACAATGCAATATATTCCTGGGAATGGTTATGTGGCTAAGAGGCTCTATCAGATCACTCTCCTCTTCTACAAAGGGAAAAGTGACCCTGATGAAAACCCAGGGACTAGGGAGGCACACTTTAAGTCCAGCCCCAGGGCTGTGTATTTTTATTGTATGCCAGGATTATGCAACAAGAGAAGGGTTGGTGCTTTAACTTGCAAGAAATAGATAAAGATTTTAAATCTTTTCCTTCTTGGAGACAAACTAAATTTCTCTCTCTCTCTCTCTCTCTCTCTCTCTCTCTCACACACACACACACACACACACACACACACAAACACACAAACATGGAGCAAGAAATAAGAAATTCAAGAGAATAGTTTATCCATTTCTAGAATGTGACTTCTCCGGCTCTTTTGAAAGCTGTCATACCAAGACAGGGCTCTCATTTTAAGATGAACTTCTCTAGAATTTTACTAAAGCCTTAGTCATAGACTTAGGATCAAAGGAGCCTAACCTCCTACCTATGTGACTAATTGAAATTTCTAAAAATTCGAGTTTGTTAACAAAACTTAATTGTGTGCTGAGATAAACATAGGTTCTGTGATGGACTGTTCTTGTCCCATAAAATGTTTGTTGGAATCCTATCCCCCAAGGCGATGGTATTAGAAGGTGACTAGGTCGTGAAGGCAGAGTTCTCATACATGGGGTTTGGTGCCCTGAGAAAAGGGACCTCAGAGAGATGTCCTATCTTTTTCTGCCACATGAGAATACAACATAAGTCAGTGATCTACAACCCAAAAGACGGCTCTCACCAAAACCTTACTATGCCGTTACCTGATCATGGACTTGTAGCTCTGGAACTGCAAGAATCGTCTCTGTGGCTGATAAACCACTCGGTGTGTGCTATGTTTGCCATAACAGCCTGAACAAATGGAGACTGCTTCCTTCCACTCCTTCTGATTTCAAAATCCTCAATCAATGTGTTGAAGTGGAACTTCTCTTGCTCAGCCTCCTCCTCTGACCTCGCTGCCCTACGCAAGGCCAGCTGACTACCCGCTGGTTAACCCAGCAATGCGCATGACCCTCTGCTTTGGATCACTGCAGCTCTGGCAGATACCACTTCCCTCTAATGTCTACTTGGGTTTTACCACTGCCTGCTGAGATTTTAATAACTTGGAAAAGAGGCCTCAGTGTGGTGAAAGAATCTGTGCCTGGTTGGCAAGTTGGTGTTAAAAATACCTGTGGAGGGCTAGCTAGGTGGCATAATGGTTAAGGAAGCTCATACAGCTTACTGAGTCAGGTTTCAGTCCCAGACCCCGTGGATTGAAAAACACGCCAGGCATGTGTGCCTGCGTGTCCAGAATCCTGAGAGGAGAATGGAAGAGAAGGGATTGTGGTGTGGCCATCCCTCTGAGGGGGGAGTGCTTTCTTATTTCCCCCCTCTGTTTGTGTCTCTCTCTAGAGTGAGCACCCTATAGCAAATTAAAATTAAAAAATGCAAGTGAAAGGCAGAACTTGAGTGAGTGAACATATGTGTTTGTACACTAATCTCTGTTCATCTGCCATTCTCCAATTAGAAAATCTTCTCACCTCTGACTTCTGCGCCTCATATATCCTGTCAGTGTTTTCCCTGTTGTCTTGTATTCCTGAGACACTGTAAGTACTTCTTCTATCTGATATAATCAGAACACTAACTGATTCGTAAGGCCATCAAAATAGCAGTAAATTAAATTTTATAAGATTATCATTTTAGTTTCAATAGAGTTTTTTCTACACCTTATGGGCAAGGCCATTTCTTGCAATTGGGTTTACAGTTTGGAATTTGAAATAATCTTGTGTAACTTTTGCTTACAACTTGTCTACACTTCAGGTTTGTTTCCTTAGAGAGAGAAATTAAAGACATTAAAACATCAAGGGGGCAAACTGAGTGTAGGCTACTTTGAGATTTTTACAATGTTTCCCATTTTTTTTTTACAATTGCCTTATGTACAGAGTATCTAACAATGTATTTGTCAACTTAATGATATTGAGCATTTTTTTTGTTTTTTGTTTTTTGGTTTTTTTTGAGAGATTTTCGCTATAGGGCGTGTGCGCTCGCCAGACAGACACAGACATAGAGACAGAAAAGCGAGAAATCACCCCCCAGGGGGGATGGTCACGCCGCAGTCCCTTCTCCTCCATTCTCCTCTCGGGATCTTGGGCACGCGCACACATGCCCAGTGTGAGTTTTAAGCCACCGGGTCCAGGATGCGAACCACGGTCGACTACGTGGGAGTCCAGAGACAT